GGCTTCTCACTGCGTATATTTGCTGCATGTGCTACGGCGAGAAGTAACGTCTTGGGGCTAACCTTGCTCAGATTTAATCCCCCATGGGGACGGATTGCTAGCATGTAGTCCTCGGCAGCGAGCGGTTGGAGTCTAGGTAGACGCGTCTTAGGCCGGCTCTGGCGTAGAGCAGGCTCAGACGGCGTTCTGGGTAGCTGTTGAGTCGGTACGGTGTGGGTTTGCAGTTGTCGGCGTTTCTTCGCTCTCTTGGTAGCAGTGATCCATGGATGTGCGTTGTGCTCATCGCTCGCCTGCGTATGGGCGTCTTGACTGGTCTGCGTATTCATCGAGTGGTCGGTGGAGCGAGAGGGCAATGATTGCTTCTCGTCGGCGGCGGCGCTCCCAGAGACGCTCGCCATCCGCTGTAGTGTGGGGCGGCATTCTGTGCAAGCTGCATTTCCGGCTTGTTAGGGTTAGCGAGGTGGACCTCGACCAAGAACTTTCGAAAGCGTTAAGACCTTTAAAAGCGCACTCACAGGTTGAAGTTCGGTATAGGCTTGACAGTGGTGATGCTAGGAACAAGTTCCTATTATTGCAACAGGTCGCCAAGAAGAAATTTTTCTTGAAAGTGAACCAGAGCCGCAGCCGATGTGATTCGTGTCCGTCGCATGCTCTCGCTACTCGGCGACCTGTTTTTACGCAGTTTCACTTAGTAGATATTCGCTAACATGCCTTTTCTCTGAGATATGCGGCTCTATAGAGTTTAATTGTCTTTCGCAAGGTTACGCCTAAATGAGGGTGAGGGTCCGCACGAAGCTCCTCCCTAACGTGACGCATCTCTTGCGTGTGGTGGTTAGTGTGTGAGGAGAGGAAAACGTAAGCATACATAACATTTACTCTTGCCCTAACGGTTTGCGAAAGCAAAATGTGACACCACGGTGCGCTTTGGGCATTACGTGTGATCTTGATGAAGGTTATAAAAGGCGACCACTTTTCTCGTCGTTTTTTGGTGACTTTTTATCACACAAAGACATCTTGTAAACGCGTTAGCTTGACTCTCCTGTCCTAGAATGCCTCAAGTAGAACAGCATCCTTGCATTCAAGGTCTACCAAGAAATTCACGTGGAGTCCTTTTGAGCTTATATGGCAGCTTCCGGCATCAGATATTCTATGACAGAAAAAGTAGACTTGGTGCTTGAAATTGCTGAAATGAATGACAAAGCTTCGTTAGCTATATAGCCTTACGCGTTTCGCCCCTCACACGTCATCCCCTTCCAACAGGGCCCACTTTCTTTAAGCTATTTCGACGCTTTTGCACAACAAGGCTGTTCACAGTGCAAGATCGACCACTGAGGCAATCGTTGATGAAGACTTAAATCGACGTTGTCGTGTGCGTAACCTCGATGCCAGAACTCAGAAACCGACAGATTGCTGATCAGTGCGGTCGCAACGTCTAAACAGTCAGAAAAGTACTAAGAAAGCTTAAGTTCCCCCGTAATACGTTTACCTTCATCAGGGCCCAATTGAGGCAGACTTTGAAAGGAGAGTGGACTTCTGCAATTGGGGCCTTAATAAACTGATCAAGAAAATGGCCTTTCGCTAATAATACTTTGGACTGATGAAGCTAGGTACTCCTGAAATGGAAGTGTAGATTTTCACAGTGCCCATTATTGCGCAAAGTAAAATTCACTCTGGCTGAGGCAGCACGCGTCAAGTTTGCTGGAGTGTGAATGTGTGGTGCGGCATACTCGGAGACAGGGTCATCGGACCTGACTTCTTTAGGAGAACTTAAACGGTAAAAACTACGCAGAAAAAACATTAGGTGTTTTCATTGATGGCATTGTCTGCAGTCTTTGAATGACCTGTGCCAAGTATGGTGTCAGCCCGATGGAGCACTGCCACATTTTTCTGCAAGGGCGAAGAACTGGTTGGACAGACGTTTTTCACAACAGTGCATTCGGCGCGCATAAGCAATGATTTGGTCACCAAGATCTCCTGACCTTTCTCCACTCGACTTTTATCTTTTGGGCTAAGTTAAAGATCAAGTTTACTAACAGAGCCCAGCGATGTTAATGAAATGAAGGATGAATAACATCTGCCTCTACGAGTATACTTATCGAAGTAGAGCATCGTGTTATCGAGAAGACTCATCAGTGCTTCATTCTTTGCGTTGCTGCCGAAGGCAAGCTTGTGAGCACGTTTTCGGGCTTTGATGTCTTGAGAGGTAAGGAGTTTTGATGCGATTTGTGCATGACCAAAATAAGCTTATGTAGCAGCTGGGAATATGCGTTACGAAGGATGAAGTTTTTGAACTTATTATTGGCGGAGTTGTTACCCTTCATTTGAAAAAAGTTACAGTACTCGGACATCAGCAGTCATGCTATTAGTGTAGCCGAGGCAACGAGCACGCACGCTTCTCTAGTCGATATTACACACGCATACTGGCTTCCAGATTCTCCGCTTGCACCAATATCTCGGCATGCTATCTGCCACTATCATTAGAGGCTCTGCACTTGCGTGTTACGACACTGGTTGCAAGAGTTTTTTGATTTTTTACTTGGACGACCGAGAAGTCAAGGCTAACTGCTATATCGATGTTCACACTTCCATCCTCTTCCCACACTAAACAGTTCACACAACAGATGTGTCACTTTAGGAAGGCGCTTTACGCTGAGCCTCCCCCGTTTGCATGCGTTATCATGCGAAAGACAATTAAGCTTTAGAGCCGGATATTTCAGAGCAAATGCGTGCTAGAAAACATTTTCGAACTGACACTGTGTGCAAACGCCGCTGCCTATATTTTTTCAATAAAAACATGCTAACTTACCGCTGACAGTACAAAGTTATTAATACATTTTAGGTAATCGGGCTGCTGACAGTAATAATTATCTAATTTTATGTTCCCCTGGCCACTTAACTTATGTGCACAAGTGGTTCTCACGTGCCTTCAACGCCTAATAAAAAAAAGTATAAGGCTTCACTACAAACACCCGGTATATTGAAGAAGAATGAGACAAAAAGACAGCGTCTTCATTGCATGCCACCTGTTATTTATGCGTTTTGTCTTTCTTTACTTCCCTAGCCAGTTGCCTGCTCGCCACAAACTCGATGCCGATCTTCGTCACTACACTCGGCCACGCTGCGCCTTTGGAGCTGCTCAAAGTGTTTGCAGTGGGCTACACTCGCTGTGCTGCTGCTGTTGGTTTTGTAGATGCCACAGCTTGTCCAGCTCAACTGCCATACATTCGGAAGGTTGAAAACAGTGTGGTCGAGATTATCGGCGCAGACCTCGCACACACTGATAGTTCCCGTAGTGACTGGAAAAACACGGTGCCAGCAGAAGATACAGGCCCTTGCAAAGTGGTGGCATCAGTTGCACGTTTTCGAGTTGCTGCTTTTTTCGAAGTTGAATTGGTAGTGCGGAAAATCGTTCATGCTGCAGCGCGGCCTGCTGCAATAAACCGCGACTTCAACGCTGCTTGCACTGCATTGAGGGACATCGGGGTGTGCTGGCTGGGCCAAGTTCCGGCAATGGCTTGTGTGGTGACTCATGCTCTTTTAGCATTGTCTTTGCCAGGCTTCTGCTCAAGCGGGTGTTTCTTATAGTTCGGGACACAGTACAGTCATCTAGGTCAGAAGCCGCGTCGTCAGCTGGAGACATCACTTGCATTGGCGGGTCCCTTATGGTAGCGAACCCAGCTGGAACAAATACCTCAACTTCTTTCCTGGCAATGACGATTAGCACGTGGGCAACGGGCGCGCACTCGGCCAATGACTGCCACATTATCAGAAGATGTGGCTCTCTACTGAGGGTCAAAATCTATAGTGGTTGGCTGACCTTCATTCACAAATTGTTGCGATGAAACGGGCGTTGTGAGAGAGCTAGCTGGCGCCTCAATATGTTCTAGTGTACGCCAGCCTGAAGGTCACATAATCGCCGCTGTGAATAGGAAGTGGTCTCTCTCTGTCTGTCCGGAATGTTAACGTGTGACATAACGACGCGGATGCTGAGACTGGAACTGGTAAGCCTGCTCGTTGAGGAATTATGGTAACAGGGCAGGTGGCAGAACAGGTTTCCGGTAAGCTGCAAAGTAGTGATGCAGCCTCGAGCTGATTCTCCTCCTGGGGTTCATCCTCGGTATCGGTCACGTAGGACTAAGTGATTGTGGAGAAGTTGTGGTGACTTCGTTCAAATGCAGCTGAGAGCTTGGCGCTCCAGTCTACCCAGGACTGCTGCCGCACGCCTCAGTATGAATGCTACGCCGTATCATAATTTCAGAGTTTGTCTATGGCCATGCGTCGCTTCTTTTGGCTTGTCCAGGCTTCGCGATCTTCTAGAGCGTTGACGGTCACCACGCATTCCTCAGTGTTGTCCTTGAAGCCTTAAAACTGCACTAGCTCCAGGGCAGCCAGTGATGGTGAAACGGCAGGTGAACTTTAGGAAAATAATGACGCGAGTCAGGCTAGTTTGTGCGAAAGCTCTGTGAGGGTGTACCAGAGCTTCCGTTGGCTATCGATTGAGCTTTCTTCATAGTCTTGTGGGGTGGCTGTGGCCGACGCTTATCATTCACATAAAATCCTGGCAACGCCGCAAGGAGCAGCATAGAACTCGACGCTGTTAAGCCACTGACCTCGAGGCAGAGTCGCGCGATGGTGCGCTAAAGCTCGGCGGTGCTTTCGAGTGGTCTACACCGAGACAGTGTTGGCATTGGCGGAAGAAACAGCGTCTCCGGAACTCACGGAACGAAAGTTCATAGCCAAGGACGTGTGGGCGGTATGCGTGGCAAGCTGATGGTCAGCTAGACTCAAGTTGACGCACATGAGTTGACGCACAAGTTGATGATGACTCAAGTTGACGCACAAGTTGACGCCTAGGAACGCGGTCCACGCACATGAGTGCGTGAACCACGTTCCTAGGCGATACATTGGCATGAGCCCGGGTGATTGTTGCGACAAAAAAATCGAGGCGCCAAGCAGGCATAAATGCCATGCCTAGAAGTCGTTTGCAGCGCCAAGAGGCTATGAGGCGTCGACGAGGCATAGACGCCATCTTCGAGCTGTGCTTGGTACGTTCGCAAAAAGGTGGGTGGCATGGCCGAGACGGCTTTGCTTGACTGACTGGTCTAGAACGTTCAGGACACACGAGTACAGGTGGGGGTCGCTTCAGGTCTTCGTTTTCGACGACTGCGCCTTGTAGAAGAATGAGACTAAAAGACAACGCTTTAGCTGCAGGCTGGCTGTTTCTTTATCTGCTTCGTCTTTCTTTCATTTGCTAGCCAGCTGCTCGCTTGCCTGAAACTCGACGTCAATCTTCGCCACTACAGCATATATATATAGATATTATATATATATATTATATATATATTATATATATATATATATATATATATATATATATATAATATATATATATATATATATATATAGATATATTGTATATATATATAATATATATATATATATTGTTACACGACTTCGGCAACGAAAGAGCGTCAAGCGCCAACAGTGGGACAACGACTCTAAGCTCACCAACGTTATCTCTTACTTGGCAGACGTAGCTAAACTTTGGTTTACAAACCGCGAAACCGCCATCGACAACTGGCCCTCCTTTAAGACACTTGTGACTGAAGCGTTCGGCCGACCAGAGGTCCGCAAGCTCCGCGCTGACAATCGCCTGCACCACCGAACCCAGCAGCCTGGCGAGACGTTTACTAGTTACATAGAGGACCTGTTCAACCTCTGCAGGCGTGTGAATCTATCTATGCCCGAAGAAGAGAAAATTCGGCAGATACTCAAGGGAATTGAGGATGGCGCATTCCAGATGTTGCTAGCGAAAAGCCCGAACACGGTGGCAGCCCTCGTAAGCCTCTGCCAGAGCTTTGATGAATTGCGCCGTCAGCTTTCCATCACCCGACAGAGTGTCCCACCGCCGGATTCAATCTCGGCCGTCGCACTCACAAATGCCAACGTTTGCCAAGAAAGTCTGTCCAACCAGATCAAAGACTTCATCAGGGAGGAAGTCACTCGACAGCTCTCCCTGCTGCCGCATAGCAACGCGCCCACCGCAAGCCTGCCTTCGACACTGCAGCAGGCCATACGCACTGAAATTTGTGATGTCCTTCCTACAGTGCAGGCCCCTTACCCATGTACTTCAGTAGCACCTAATTTCTCAGCTGTCGGCTACGCACCACTTGCACCACCTTCACATCTCAGCTACGCAGCTGTGGTCGCGCGGCCCCCACCGCATCTAGTCGCCTTATGAGCTCCACCTCCTCCGGCCTCACCTCCAGTTTACAGGCCCTCACCTCGCTTTTTCAGTCGATCTAATGAGTGGCGCACCCAAGACAATCGTCCTATCTGCTTCGCCTGTGGCATCGCTGGCCACATTGCACGCTGCTGCCGCCGTCGCCCCACACCTGCAAACGCATACTTCGGAACTCCTACCTACGCGCTGCAGCAGGCCACCGCATCTGCGTATGAACAGAGGCACTCAGACTCGGATCGCCGCCCATCGACTGCTCGTTTCCCAGCCCCTCGTTGCCAATCGCCATCGCCTATGCGTCGTCGGCCACCTCCTGAGGAGGGAAACTAAGCAGTGCAGTTCCGGAGGCAAGAACTGCAACTCGTGCGCAATTCCCAAGGCCTCCGTTTTCGCCGCAAAATGTTGTTGATGTCGATGTTGAGGGAGTCGCCACAATAGCGTTAATTGATACCGGGGCCGCCGTTTCTGTGATGTACGCCAAATGAATGCGCAAAGCATTCATCCCTCAGCTCTGTGTACGGCGCGCGTCGTCATCCAAGACATTTTGTACGTCGTACAGTTTTTTGCTCTGCCATCTTGCTTTCATGACCTTATCCACGGTTGGGATTTCCTATCACGTCATGAAGCTATCATCGATTGTTCCCGTGCCGAAGTGTCCCTTGTGCCAACATATGAATTTCCACCACCCGACCAGTCTCTTCGGCTCTGCAAACTCATCGTTGACGACGACATGACCTTGCCCCCGGAAGCTTCGGTCCCTATAAGCCTTTTATGTGTGGCACAACCTGACGCTACGGTGGTGTTTACGCCATCTCCTGTTTTTACTGAACGCAAGGGCATCGTTCTCCCATTTGCTGTTCTTACAATTGCGTCTGGTTTAACCGTAATGCTAGTTACCAACCACTGCAACTACCCCATCGGCTTACTTCGTGGTGAAACGTTGGGATATGTGCAACCTGTCGACCATGTCGATGATATTATTCTTCCCGACGAAACGCCATGTCACATTGCCGCAATAACTCATGCGTCTGAGCCATCAAGTTTGTCAGCCTTCAACAATGCTAATGACGCAGACCTTCCCCTCTCGCATCGCCGCCAACTTGTTGCTCTCCTTAACAAGTTTCGCTCTTCTTTCGACTTTCAAGGACCTGCTTTGGGCCGCACCACGACTATCACTCATACTATTGACACCGGCTCACATTCGCCTCTGCGACAGCGTCCTTACCGCGTTTCCACCGAAGAGCGCCGCGTCATTACGGAGCAAGTAGACGACATGCTTAAACGTGGAGTGATACAGCCTTTTCAAAGCGCTTGGTCATCACCTGTGGTTCTGGTAAAGAAAAAAGATGGGACCGTTCGATTTCGCGTGGACTATCGCCGCTTAAACAAGATTACGAAGAAAGATGTCTACCCGCTACCACGAATAGACGATGCTCTTGACTGTACAAGGCGCCGAGTACTTTACATCTTTGGATCTGCGTTCTGGGTATTGGCAGGTGCCAATGGCTGAATGTGATCGCCCTAAAACAGCCTTTGTAAGGCCAGATGGCCTATATGAGTTAAAAGTGATGCCATTTGGGTTCTGCAACGCACCTGCCACGTTTGAGCGCATGATCGATACCATCTTGCGTGCCCATAAGTGGAAAACTTGCATGCGTTACCTGGACGACATCGTAGTCTTTTCGTCTGATTTCCCGACACATCTTGTTCGCCTCCACGAGATTCTGACGTGTCTGACTTCTGCGGGTCTACAACTTAACTCTAAGAAGTGCCACTTCGCAGCACGAAAACTAACCATCTTGGGACAAGCCATCACAAGAGACGGTGTTCTTCCGGATCCCGAAAAGCTTCGGGCTGTCGCTGGCTTCCCGTTGCCCACATCACTGAAAGCCCTAAGAAGTTTCGTCGGTCTCTGCTCCTACTTTCGTCGCTTCGTGCGCAACTTCGCGTCCATGATCGCACCTCTCACGAGTCTGTTTTCCAACAGCAAAAGTATATCTGCATGGTCGCCTGCATGTGACGACGCATTTCGACAGCTGCACCGCCTGCTGACCTCACCACCCAATCTTCGTCACTACGACCCCGCTGCTGCCACAGAAGTTCACACCGATGCAAGTGGCATCGGTCTTGGTGCAGTTTTGGCACAACGGAAAGGCACCCAGGCCGAATACGCAGTCGCCTATGCAGGTCGTGCTCTCAAGAAGGCTGAATTGAATTACTCCGTGACAGAGAAGGAGTGTTTGGCCATAATCTGGGCCTTGACGACGTTTCGCCCGTACCTTTACGGCCGCCCTTTCGACGTGGTCACAGACCACCACGTTCTATGTTGGCTGTCCACATTGAAAGACCCGTCCGGACACCTGGGACGTTGAGCACTTCGATTGCAAGAACACGACATCCGTGTAGTATATCGTTCCGGTCGCAAGCATGCGGATGCCGATGCACTTTCGCGATCGCCATTAACCCCAGATGTGGCTTCTCTGTCACCACTTTTTACCACATTGTCACTAATAGACACCACTGACATGCTTTCGGAGCAGCGTTAAGATCCATACCTTGCATTGTTACTCGACTACCTTACCGATCCGTCTGCTGTCCCTTCCACGAGAGCGCTACGCCGACAAGCAGCCCACTTTTCCGTGCGAGACAGCATTCTGTACCACCGCAACTACATGCCTGGTGGTCGGAAGTGGCTCCTTGCTGTCCCAACTCATATGCGCTCTGACATCTGCATGAATTTCCATGCAGACCCTCAAAGTGCTCACGCAGGTGTCCTGAAAACCTACGAAAGGCTGCGCCAACATTATTACTGGCGAGGAATGTATCGCTTTGGGCAGAAATACGTTCAGTCTTGCGCCACTTGCCAACAGAACAAGACACCTCCGCGGCACCTTACTGGCATGTTACAGCCGCTCCCATGCCCGTCTCGCCCATTCGACCGCGTGGGTATCGATCTCTATGGCCCCCTACAATATAGTCGCTCTGGAAACCGGTGGATTATTGTCGGCGTTGATCATCTGACACGCTACACTGAAACTGCAGCTCTACCGGCAGCGACCGCCCACGAAGTTGCACTCTTCATTCTGCGCAGCTTCATTCTCCGCCATGGGGCTCCACGGGAATTAATTACTCAGTGATAGGGGTCGAGTGTTCCTGTCAGAGGTCATCCAAGCTATTCTCGCTGAATGCAACATCTTCCGCCGGAAATCTACCGCATACTATCCACAGACAAATGGTCTCACTGAACAGTTCAACCGCACACTTGGCGACATGCTGATTGATTGATATGTGGTGTTTAACGTCCCAAAACCACTAAATGATTATGAGAGACGCCAGGCGACATGCTGAGGATGTACACCTCCTCCGACTACACTAACTGGGACGCTGTCTTGCCTTTTGTTACCTTCGCTTACAACACCGCGACGCAAGCGACTACCGGTTTTTTCCCCATTCTTTCTGTTGTACGGCCGCGAACCATCCCACCCACTCGACACCATACTCCCGTACCGCCCTGATGCATCGGAGTGCTCCCCGCTTTCGGAAGTCGCCAGATACGCTGAAGACTGCCGTCAGTTGGCTCGGTCTATGACAAGTGAGGCTCAAGGTCCAAAAAAACCCGGCATGATGACGCTCATCACGTAGCGCCTAAGTTTCGTACTGGCTACCTCGTGTGGCTTTGGGTGCCCCCGCACGTTCCTGGCCTGTCTTCTAAACTTCTGGCCTGGTACCATGGTCCATACCGTGTCATTGACGCAACCTCGCCGGTGAATTACATCTTCGAGCCCCTAACACAATCGCCAAATTTGCGCCGTCGAGGACGCGAGACCGTACACGTCGACCGTCTCAAGCCCTACTACAAACCCCTCATTGTGCCTACTCCCTGAGTCGCCAGGATGGCTACTCTTCAACCCGGGGGGTATTGTAGTGGAGCATACGCACTAACGTGTATGCGGCTTCCAAAGAGAAGAAAAAAACCCGTGCTCTGATTGCACGAGAACAGACAGTTTTCATCAAACATCCAGTTTCTTTCTTTCAGCGCCCGTGGTTTCGTTATCAAAGACCCCCAAGTCATTTTCATCGAGTCTCTGTTATCGAATCTTCACGTTTCCCTCCGGCATTTATTCCTCCTAACCCAATGCTCGGTGCCAGTTGACTTATTTTCGATGATAGTTTTCCGTAAAATGCCAAGTTACTTCCAAAGCATGTTCTGAAGGGCCTCCTTCAAGACCATCTCAATCATTTTCCTAAATACGTAGTAATTTTGACCGACGCAACGCAAACTCTTCATAAGGCTGGAGTAGGTATTTTTTCTCATCAGCCTAATTGGTCTTTTGCGCACCGATTGCCTTACTTCACACTAATTTATCTCGCAGAATTCCTGGCCTTTACATTGGCTCTTCGAAAACTAAATTATCAGCAATCAAAAGCCATTATTATTTCGGATGCTTTGTCTGTAGTTACACATCTCACGTCCGCAAAGAAGTCTCCTCTTCTCAGGATATTTTGGTCTCTCGTACCGCATAGCTTATCAGAAGTTCGGTTTATTTGGGTCCCCAGGCATGCTAGAATTGAACTAAATGAAATTGCTGATTCGCTCGCTTCAGCATCTTTAAATTTCCCGGTGTTGCTAGTAGCTCCACAGTTTCCTTTTATTACTGCCGAACGATTCAAATGCCTGTTAATCTTAAAAATCAACGAAACGTCGCTTCTACAATCTGAAAAATTTCGGCACTTGCAATTCACATGGAACACCGCAAAATGCCTTTCCCGTCAATGTGAGGTGACCCTCACAAGCTTTCGCTGTAGAGTTCCTCTGCTAAACTTTTATCTCAACAAATCAGGATTTTCATTACCTACCCTATATGTAGTTTGCAATGAACTGGAAACAATATATCACTTTCTTCTCACATGCCGCCGCTTCGCCTCACTGCGACGAATAATTCTTGAAAGAACGATTGGTATGTTCGGATCGCCAGTCAATACATCCACCCTATTATCGTTTGGAGCCAGTCAGTTGGGTGTGGGCCGCAGTGCTATTCTGTCAGCGCTACATAGTCATTCAGGCAACCGGATGGATACGCTGCTAGTGGTACTGCCAGATATATCCAATTCTTTCTCCCCCTTCCTAGTTCTTGTTAATTTGTTTTATATATTCTGGTTTATCGCAATCTTCTGAAAATTTTCACGTTTTTAAAAGAACATTATTATTGTTCCTATCTAATTTCTCTCTATTTTTTAGCAAGCGTTGTCAAAAATGATCTATTATGAGGTGAAGTGTGGCCAATCCGCCATGTGGGTATGAGCCACGATCTCCTAGGAGACAAGACAAGACAAGACCTGGGCCGCCTTTGCCAGACTTGTCGTCGTACGGCCATTTTTCGTTGCGACATCGTTGCGACTTCTCCGGTTCAATAAACGTCATCACATTATATATATATATATATATATATATATATACATATATATATATATATATATATATATATATATATATATATATATATTATATATATATATATATATATATATATAATATATATATATATATATATATGTATATATATGTATATATATATATATATATATATATATATATTATATATATATATATATATATATATATATATATTGTTGAGGCGTTTATTAGCCGGCAGCCACAAATCATACGCTATGGTGACAGAGACGGTCAAGCAGGGTCTCAAAGCGTGAGCGGCGTCTTTTTTGGGTAGCCCCTTTTGCGGTGAACAGAATGGCACTCTGTCAGAATGGCTTCGACGACTTCTGACAAGAAGACACGGCCTCGATCGCTGGGAAGCTCTTGGGGTGGTCCGTGGCGCAGTATAAATTGATGCAGCAGGAAGGACGCAACATGGCGTGCAGTTGTCGCAGGGAGAGCGGCGGTTTCAGCGTATCGCGTTAAATGGTCTACGGCAACGATGGCCCAGCTGTTACCAGCCAACGTCAGAGGAAGAGGTCCATACAGGTCGATACCTACATGCCTAAACGGACGGTCAGGGCAAGGTAACGGTTGGAGACCGGCATGCGACATGTGTGCCTACGGTTTGCGTCGTTGGCAAGCGAGGAAAGAGCGTACAAATTGCTGCACGTAGCGGTACATCCCACGCCAGAAGTAGCGTTGTCGATTGCGGTGGTAAGTTTTGGAGACCCCAGAGTGCGCGCATTGCTGATCAGAATTGAAAGATTCACATAACTTCGACCCCAAAATGTGGGGTGTCACGAGTAGCCACTGCCAGCCATCAGCATCGTAATTGCGTCGGT